GAGTGAGGTGTGGGTCTTGCTTGAGTCTTTTGCAGATATTTTTCCAATTTTGCCAACACCATTTGTTAAAAAGGCTGTCGTTCCCCCACTTCACTGATTTTCAATTTCCTTCTTGCATAGAATCTTTTTGACATCTTGTTCTACATCAGCTACAGAAATCACATTGATTTTAAAGGTTTATGTGATTAAATTAGAAACATCCAGATAATCTAAAAGTTAACTGCCATATGATAAAATAGTCATGAGAGTGATACCTTCTTATAATCACCAGCTTTTCAATTGCAACAGGTTATATTTGAGGACCATTTTAAAAATGTTTCCTAGCACAATAAAGTTTTTGGTTTTATTTTTTTCAAATTGAGAAAGTAATCATTGTTCTTGAAATTGTTGAACTGGTATATTTTTACTGTGTATTTTCTCACCAACAAAATGAATTATTAAAAATATTTATGAGTTTGAATCATGATGATGTTGTTGTTGTTATTGTTGCTGAATACCATCAAGTCAGAACTGACCCTCAAGCAGGTTTTCCGAGGCAATTAAATGCTTGGGAGGAGATTGCCCATCCTTCTCCTGTGGAGCAGCTGGAGGATTCAAACCACCTACCTTCAGGATTACAGTGCAATTTCTTACCACAAGGCCACCAGAGCTCATGATAGATTTAAAATAAATAAATAAATAAATTATAGTTGTTTTGAGTAAATCTTTAGTTATCCCTTCTTTAATGGCACTATCATTCTTTTAACCTCTTTAGCATTTCTTAGATTCTTATTGGAAGTATTAAAATTATAAAATGGTTACAGTTTCCAGGCTTTAATACTTCTCACATTTTATGTCCCTGTGGCCTGATTCTCATATTCATAGGCCATATAGTGGATTGATACTAGGTAAAGATTAGGATCATTGCAAATATCATCATTTAATGTTATCTTTGCTCTGTTCTAACAGTTGCTTCCTGGTCCAACTGTAGGTGTTACATAAGCACAGTCAGGTGTTCTGAGATTCCAAGATTAGCCACAATTTGTTATGATCCACACAGTCAAATGCTTTTGCATAGTCAATAAAACACAGAAATTCCTCTAGTACTCTCTGCTTTCAACCAAGATCCATCATTTAATGAAAAAAAATTTACTCTGATCAACTTTTATGTTTAAAAAAATACAACATTTACTAGCAGCTATTTATCTAGGCATAGACATGATTTTGTTTGTGGAGAGAGGAAGATACTTATTCTTTTACATCATCTAATTTTCCTCCTATTGAGTAATTTTATTATATTTGTAAATGTGGTTTGATATAGATCATCCCAAATCATTTTATGTTGTTTGTTGTTAGGTTCCAATGCATTGAGAATGACTCATAGGAACCCCACAAACAACAAATCTAAACTCTGTCTTATCCCATGTCATCCTTATCGTTTTTAACACACTTCAGCCCATTGCTACAGTCACTGTGTCAATCCAACTCATTGAAGATCTTCAGTCTTCATTGAGGGATGTTTGGAGAGTAAATCATCTAATATTACCCAAAAAAGCTTTGCTTTCTCTGCTTCTTCTAGCCTATATATTCCAGTTATAGGCAAGAGTATTACTATAATTTATTTTAAGATTATTGTACTAAGAAGGAGATCTGGTGGCCTGCTGGCAAGAAGAACATCTGGCACCGGGGGAAGCAAGCCAGGACAAACACAAACTTCCCCTGCCTCTCAGTTCTTGCAAGTGCCGGCCCTGAAAGAATCAAATAATTTGTTTCTCCATCTTAACCCATGGCTGAAAGATTAGAACCTAGAGTCTTTTTGAGTTTGAGTTTTCTGCTTTTTTTGAAGCAGAGAAGGAGAGGAGGCGGAGAAGCAGAAAAGCCCATTACTCTCTTAGTTCGTTTCATGTACCTTTGTTTCAGTGGCTTACTTAAAATAGATTTGGAGTCAAATTTGCATTAAAAACAGGAACTGAGATTTTTAAAAATAGATACATATTTATTTAAATATTTCTCAAATATTCATAGGTATTATGGTCGAAAAATACTTTTCCTCACGATGAGTCATCCTAATTTTGATAAAATGCTTGAAAAGTACATCTCATCTAAAGATTTACCCTATATTAAAGAATCTGTTAAAAACTTACGACAAAAGGTATGTGAAAAGAGTTTGCTTTATAAAATATTTTAGAAGTTTATTTGCTGTGGAAGATAAGAAATTCATGTAATTCTTGCATTATTTCTTTGGTAACTACTCAGAGTTTTTCTTCTGCATTACTATTGAGCTTTTACCAAAAGAGCATGTACAAGGAGCTTCTTGAAGATAAATACCTAAAGGATTTTAGTAGCTAATCCTGGTGGTTAATGGGGATTTAGCAGTATCTGTTGAATAATTGACGAAGAGAATGCCAAGTGAAAGGTGGAATGTGCCTGATTTCAAAAGTGATCTTTTTATAAGTTATTTTATTCAAAAGTAGCTTGCTTCTGGAATCTCTATGAACGTGGAGAAACGATGAAATTTACACAAGTGTTCAGGTCTTTCCTTTATAGGTCACTGTGAGCCGTCTACAACTCGACAGCATTTAACAACAATAACATATTAAATTTAATAATGTAATATTTTTAATTATAATTCATGTCATTCATTTATGATAATCTTAAGCCAAGCATTCTTTTTTTTCTCTGTAATTATATTTTATTAATTTTCATAAACATTTACAGAGATTTTGGGTTTCCATTCATTCACCGCTGCACCATTCTCTCTACCCTCCTCCCAGTTTGTTCTTGTCCAAATGCCACAGTGCTTGTCAAAGCCAGTTCTGATTAATCTTCTTTGTCAGTGTGTCCTTTGCCATTCCCTATCACTCCTCCCTGAGAGAGACTTCACCCTGAGTCATAAGGAAAAGGGGATGGCGTATTCTCTTAGCTACTTCCTGCTGAAAAGGGGCGCTGTGGGTTTCAGGGTGACGATCTTCTCTCACTACTCTAAAGGACCCCTTTGGCAGTAGGAAACACATAGACTATTATGGAAATTGATTTTGGAATTTAGATGCACTCTTATTGATTGTGCTTGGCCATACATGTTCCTATCCTTGAAGATGTATCATGGGGGTGTTGCAACCTAGAAGACACAAATTTGACTAACAAGTTATAAGTACATGAGTCGAAAATTATGGAAAAGTAAAAGAAAAGATTCTTTCATTGTTTTACAAACCCTCCCCCAGGTCCCCACCACCATGTAGCCCTCGCTCTAGACTCCTGTGATGACAGAAATACCTAGTCACATATCTCTTTTACACAGTTTTCTCCCTCCTCTGTTTCAGTGCAGTATACATTATTGAACACATCTTACTCAGTCTCTCCCCAACCCTGAGGTTAGTCCCATTCTACAACAGTAAGCCAAGCATTCTTTCATGAAAAGATACTATTGTAGAGATGTACAATAATGTGTATTCGATACTATTGTAGAGATATACGATAATGTGTATTCGAGAGCATTTTTCTGCTTGTTGATTTTGAGACCTCGAACTTAATTCAATATAGAACTTACTAAGCAAAAACAGTTATTTAAATGAGAGATCATTTTTGTGAGTCATTACATGTCTCATGGGGAGGGGAAGGTTTAAAATATTCAACAGTGTTCTTCCATTGTCCTTAGAGATTTTGATGGAATCTCCTCAAAAAAAGATGATGGAAAAATGTGCAAATGAGCAAACAATATCATTAATAGCACATTCAAGTAAAATTTTGCTGGAGAATATTCAAAACTGCCTGGCATAGTACATTGACAGAGAACTTCAAACTGGATTCCGAAACAGAGATATTCAAACTGGATTCCGAAAAGGCCATGGCAGGAGAGATATACGATTATTGATATCAGGTGGATCTTGGCTGAGAGCAGAGAATACCAGAAAGATATTTACTTGTTTTGTATTTGGTTATACAAAGGCATTTGACTGTGGATTGTAACAAATTATGGCTCACATTGAGAAGAAAGAGAATCCCAGAGCATTTAATTGTGCTCATTTGAAACCTATACCTATACCTATACCTATATAAGAAGCTGTTACAAATCAAAGGAACACTGCATGGTTTAATGTCAGAAAATATTTTCATCAGGGTTATAGTCTTTATCCATGCCTATTCAGTCTGCATTTGAGAAGCTGGACTCTGAAGAATATGGCATTAGGATTAGAGGAAGACTCATCAACAATCTGTGTTTTGCAAATGACCCAACCTTGCTTACTGAAAGTGGAAAAGGCTTGCAATGCTTCTGCAGAAAACCAAAGACTACTGACTTCAGTACGGATTACATTTCAACGTCAAGAAAACAAAAATCCTCAATTGGAACGATAGCCTACATCGTGATGAAGATAATATTGAAGTTACCAATAATTTCATTTTACCTGGATCCATAATCAACATCCTCGGCACCAGCAATCAAGAAATCAAAAGATATATTTCATTGGGGAAATAGTTCGTCAAGGATCTCTCCAAAGCACTAAGGTGCAAGGATATCCCTTGAAAGACTGAGATGCTAGATGAGAGATTGTTTACATTGTGGTCACTGCTGACAGGATACCTGTGTCATCTTCTAAGACTGGGGGTGAGGGGCACTTCTACCTTAGCAGGCAGTCTCTGAGGGGAGTTGGGAACTTTCCAGGAGTTCTGCCCAGTACTCTTCCCTCTTCAAGTCTCAGTGGTTGTTGCTTACTGGTAGTTGTGACTGCTGCTGAGGCTGGGTGGGAGGGGCCATTTCTACTTTAGCAGAGAGATTCTCTGGGAACTTAGCCAGAACCCTTCCCTCTCCATTCTCAAGTTTCCAGCTCCCCTCAAAGACCACTCACACCTGAAGAGGGAAGGGTTCTGGGTAGCAGTGCTAGGAAGTTCTCGGCTCTCCTCAGAAACTTTGTCTATTTGGGGGGTGGGGAGATAACTCCACCACCACAATCCACTTCACATAATGTCATGGAAGCAACAGTCAGGATCAAACATTATGAAAAACAGAACAAACCTTCTAAAAAAGCAAGCCAGATTGAGGACCAGTGAATATCTCAGATACAGGAATTGAAAAGAAATAGGCTGACATGGAATTCCAGAATCTGGCACTGAAGTTACGAATGTTGGAAGAAAGAATTAACAGCCATAAATAAAGAGAAACAAGAAAGGGGAAACATCACAAAACAGCGCAGATACAACCAACACTGAACTAGAAATAACAGAAAAAGCACAGTAGTACAATCCAGACTATTAAGACTGAAAAACAGGAATTTTCAACATGTTGGAGGCATAAAAAAAGAACCAGAAGAGTTGAAACAGAGAATCAGTAAGATAGAAGACAAGAACCTCAATGAGAATTTACAAGAAGAAATAACTTGGAGAAGATAGAAGGAAAATGAAGAAAACATTAATATCATGTGGCATGAAATCACATGAAACAATATATATGTGATAGAAATTGTAGAATAGGAGGGTTAAAAAAAGGCATGAAAAAAAAAAAGACATGGAGAAAGTTGTAGAATTGATAGTAGAAGAAAACTTTCCAGGTATTATGAAAAGCAAGAAAATACACACTCTAGAAACTCGTCAAACCCCAAACAGACTCTAAAAGAAAAATATCAAGACATATAATTGGCAAATTCTCCAAAATCAACAACAAGGATAGAATACTAAAAGCAGAACAAGAAAACAGAGTCACCTACAAGGGACTAATTAGATTAAGCAGAAACCATGCAAGAAAGACAGATACTTATAGAAGGCTTAAAGGGAGCAAGTGCCAGCCAATATTCCTTTGCCCAGTAAAATTCTCAATCAAATATGAAGGAGAAATTAGGTCATTTGCGGAATTTAAGGAATTTGTGAAATTAAGACCAACTCTACAAGAAATATTGAAGGAACTTCTTTCACACAGAGATAATAGAAAAAAGTAGATGGGCCAAAGTAACCAGCAACAAAAAAAAATGGCAGCAATAACCCTGGTATGTCCACTTGCGGTACAGAGGTAACTCATGGTTGCTGTGAAGCTGAACACTGTGACACTAATATGTCAAATACGAGAATGGTTACCCATGGTGGGCAGTGTTTGGTGGAGCTTCCCGATTAAAACAAGCCTGGAAGCCGGAGGGGCATCCACTTCCGTAATAGCTTGCCTCTGGAAACCTTATGAACATGGAGAAAGGATGAAAGTTATACAGGTATCCAGGTCTTTCGTTCATTGAGTCGCTGAGTCTCCTGCACTCAACGTGAGTGACTTAAATGTACTGAAAAAGGAGGGGAGTAGCTAAATGGATTTTTTTTAAAGCCCATAAATATGTTGTCTACAAGAAACATCTTTAAGAAATGAGAAGAAAGACTGAAAGGATGGGGAAAATACACCAATCAAATGCAATCCATAAGAAAGCTGGAGTGGAAATACTGACCTCTAATAAAATAAACTTCAGGATGAAAACCACTATAAAAGATAAGAAAGGGTACTACATAATGATTGAAGGCACAGTAGATCATGAGAGCATATCCTTAGTTAACATCTACGCATCTAATAATGGACATGCAAAATACATAAAACACTTATTAATAGACTTGAAGAAATAGACACCACCACTACTCCCACCAAAACGCAACTAAAAAAAAAAATTCAGCAAAGATACAGAAGATCTTAACTATACAATCAGCCAACTTGACCTCATAGATGTATTCAGAATACTTCAGTGAACAAAAGATCAATTTACTTTCTTCTCAAGTGAAGATGTTACATTCTCGAGAATTGACCATATATTAAGACACAAAGCAAGCCTCAACAAATATAAAAACATTGAAACAATACAAAAATAATCTCAGATCTTAATGTCATAAAGATAGAAATTAACAAGAGGATAAAAGAAAACAGAACATCCACATGGAAACTAAATAGCATTTTGCCAGAGCACTGCTGTTTTATACAAAAGTGAAAACAGAAATAAAAACTTTCTTCAAAACAAGTGATACCACATCACATAAAAACCTATGAGATACAGCTAACGCTGTCCTCAGGGTCAGTTCACAGCATTCAGCAAAATACAAATACACATTTAAAAAAAAAAAAGGTAAAATAAACTACTTAACAACTCCAGCAAATAGAAAAAGAAAAAGTTACTCTCTCAGCTAGAAGAAAGGAAA